TGACTTCGTAATTTAGTTTCTTTTGTCTTGTCTTCACCACCTGGCTACTGTTGTAAAATGTTGAGAGATTCAAACAAAAAGTAATCAATAAATAGAACAAAATAAAAAATAATAAAGACTGCAAGTGACGTCGCTAGCGGAAGTGCAAGTGTCTGAGAGTGCACGCCTGAGAGTGCAAGCGCCAGCTGCAGCCAGACCCTTCTCCATTGTTTTGCAATTAATTTATCGTCCACTAGATGGCAACGTTTGGCAGGTCGACTGAAGATGCGGTATCGAGTCAGACCTCGCGCAGCGTGTGCAGCCGACAAACCGACAGATCCAAAACTTAGCGACCTCCTTCTTATGACTTGATTATCTATGAATGTTAATTTGATGTTTTTGGCAATTTTTCTATGCTTTTGGAGCTTCTTTTACACACACGAACGATAGTAAGTACACCTGAGAGCAAACACACTGGATTTTCTTCCTGTTAATATTCTTAACATCCATATTTAATAAACACAGTGACACAGCCATGTTGTATTCATATTATTTTATTAAAAAAAAAATAAAATAAAAATTCAGTTTTAAAATAAAAATAAGATGGCAAACAGTGAATCCTGTAGGTATGAAAATTGTAATAACACAACTACTTTCCTTTCTCCTGAGGGATGTTAAATCTCTATACATTTACTTTAAAAAAAAAAAAAACAATGCAGCAGTCCAACAAATTAAAAGCAGCATTTCATATATTTACATCCTGCAGTTAAAACAGTATGTGCTCAATCACATATGATCCTCACAGCAGCACTGAGAAACATGCACAGCCCATCAATGAAACCATCCATCTGTCCATACTGTACATAGATCACATGACCGTCTCTGTAAAGTAATAAATATTGAGCAAATTTCACCATCTTTACAAACTGGCTTGCCGTTCATAACAAGAGCTGGCACAATATGAGAGATATACTTTTCACATGCCTATGCAAAAATGTACAAAATTCCCTGGAATCCCTTCCTTCATTAGCTTTTCATATGTATGTTAATAAGTTTGACTTTTCTCCAGTTTTCAGTCAAATATCCCAATACTGCTTCTTTTGTAATGAGCTGAGAATCGTTTCATTGTTACGCCCTTTAGGAGATGAGATGCACAATTTGATGAGAAGCGCTTCTGCTCTTGATGAACGAGATGATAAATTCAGCAGTCCTCTTCCTTGTCGATTATTCCTTTTAACCGCAAGCGAGCAAAGTCCTCAAATACAATGTCGTCATCTGGGGTTAAACTCCTGTTAGAAAGAGTAACATGAAAAAACAATGCTTAAGACAAGAAAGAAATACATACGTGATCAGTGTGCTTTGTTCATATTTAAAAAGTCTTGCTTTGTGTCGAACTCTATCAAGTTGGTGTCAATTGGTGGATCCAACATTGGAGCAGCTGTTGAACAAAAAAAGTGACTTAATGAAGGAGATCCTGTTACACTTCCATGTAGCCTATTTAGTGCAATTAAAGAGTTTTTTTTTGTTATTTGTGTTTGATCATTTCTTGGCACAAACCTGAGGTTGAATGTAAAAGGGTGGAATCTGTGGGTTTTGGTTGCATTAAAACAAAAGGCAGTTCCACCGAGACGTCCCTGAATGAAAGAGAAAACCAACACAAAACCAACACTGCCATCATTTGAAATACTTGAGGTGTGCAAGAGCTTATAAGAAAGATGAATCTCTCACGAACTGACTAGGCCATATTTCACTCCAAAATCAATATTGCTCTTCTTTTGAACTTTCTATTTATCAAAGAATAAGCAAATCAGCATATTAAAATGATTTCTGAAGGATCATGTGACACTGGAGACTGGAGTAATGGCTTCTGAAAATTCAGCTTTGACTTTGCAGGAATAAATTACAGTACATTTAAAAATATATTAAAATGGAAAACATTTTAAATTGTAATGATTCACAATATTACTGTTTTTACTGTATTTTAGATCAAATAAATGCAGCCTTGGTAAGCATTTAAAACATTAAAAAACCTTACCAACCCAATTTTTTTTAACAGTAGTGTATATTGTACAAAAATAAAAACTACTGTAGAACCATCATTTTTTTGGATTCTGACATGTTCATCACATTTAAGCCCAATTCACTTCCATTGTTAAGCGTCTCACTGTAACCATGATATTTTAAACTTTTTTTTTTTTTACCACTTTTTTTATATATTACTGAAAATAAAATCTCATTCTAAAAAAATAATAACTCAACTGTCTTTGTAAAGGAATAAAAATACATATGAAGGCTTTCAAAAACTATATATAATCTGACCATTATCATTTGTCAAGCTTAATGTTTCAGCTGGTTTCATCATGTGAAAAATATTTTTTAAAAATCACTTTTTGTATAAATTTGTGAAGTACAACTGTAAATATACATCATTCTAGTAGTATTTGTTTTACATACATTATTTTAGTATAAAAAAATCTATACAGGATGATTTTCCTTAGTGTAATAAAGAGGCCCAAATCAGGAATTATTTACATTATAAAATGTCTTTCTTCGGATTTAGAGATAAAAATATGACCTAGACATTTCTTAGTGAGCTTCATCCATACATGCAGCTTCATGTGTGTAAAGGTTAGTGCTCTACCACTATGAATATCAGACAGGAAGCATCAGAGTAAAGTTGAGCAGAGCACTGAACAGCATGCAGATCTCCGTCGTAGGGCAAACCAAGAGACACTACAGCAAGACACCAGAATGCACAATGGATGTATTTACCTCTCCAGCAAGCTGCTTAAAAGCCTGACGTAAGAGACAGATGGAAGGGAAGGAAACAGACAGAAAGAGAGACATAAAACAATGGGAGAATGACAAAATGATTTGATAACCAGAACGAAGCAGCACAGAGAGGCGAGGGTTCAGGGAGGGAATATAAAACACAAGGCTCACAGCATCCTGCAAAATTTTAACAGCTAAAGCACAGCATGCTAATTGAAGCACCACCACTGAAAATATCAAACCGAAAAAAGATAAAGGTCAACCTCACAAACTGACTATTGTGAATATCCACAGAGAACTGACATGGTGTCTATAGGACAGGTGAATCATATCGTGAATCTTGTGCACATACACACACAATGAATTACATGTGACCAATCAAAACTGTTCCCCAGTGTGTGACTGACTGTCGAGAGGATCAGGTGACTCACCCTCCACGGGAGACCACCAGCTTGATTTTGACCCGATATGACACCAGGACACCCAGAACTTCCTTATTACTCACATCCTTCACACTGCAGGCAAACACACAAACAGAATCAGTCAATCGACTCTTTATCCTTTGAAGAATTAAAATCAACACAAAACTCACTTCTGCAATGTGACATACTGTGAAACAGGAAATTCATCTGTTTTTCACTGATGAACCACGCACAACAAGACAATGAAAGTCTATTAAAAAATGAATAGGGTCATTTTTGTACACTGTCATTTAAAGGTTTGGGGTCAGTAAGGTTATTGAAAATATAATCACTGTTTCCACAAAAACATTAAGCAGCTCAAATGTTTTAAATGAATTTTTTTTTTTGAGCAGCAAATCAGCATATCAGAATGATTTCTGAAGGATCATGTGACACTGAAGACTGGAGTAATGATGCTTAAAATTTAACTTTGACGCCATAGGAATAAATTATACTTTAAAATATATTTAAACTGAAAATAGTCATTTTAAATTGTAATATTTTAAAATATAACTGTTTTTAACTATTTTTGAGCAAATATATGAAACCTTGGTGAGAATAAGGAGACTTATTTCAAAAACATTAAAAAAATCTTACCAACCCCAATGTTTTGAAGGGTAGAGTAGTAGTAGTAGTAGAATTCAAAGTATGAAACTTGTGTTTTGTTAATATTTTAATTTCTTTACTTGCTTGATTTTTTTGTTTTTTTTTGCACATACGCCTGTATGTTTTAATTAAGATAATATGGGCCAGATTTACTAACAACTTGCGCCAACGAAAACCGTCATTCAGCATTAAAATAGTACTGTCAGGATTTACTAAAGACGTGCAGTGAAGAAGTAGCGCTGTATGCATTTGTAGGAGTTTCCCTTTCAGACGCAAAATTTATGGGAGGAGTATTCAAATAAACCACGCAATGCGATTTACTAACATTTGCGCTCATCAAATTACTGGTATTTGCGCCATTATCTTAAAGTAGGCGGTAATTTGCGCTGCTCTTGGTAGATTGCGCTGGTCATTACGGAAATGATCTGGCTGCGTATGTGTTCTTTAATGTGCGCATTGTTAGTAAATCAGCCGCAGAATTTTCCCTCCCATCGGCGCTTTTACGGAATTGCTCACTAACGCTAATTTGCCCTGTTTAGTAAATCTGGCCCTTAAGTTGTATTTTGTAATTCCACAAAATTCTAATTTTATAGGGAAATAAATAGGTGTTTTTAATGGTAACCACTGAGCATATGGGTAAAATGTGGTGATTAAGAACAGCAATACTCACATAGTACTGGACGCCAGGTTGGTGTCCTCATGTTTGAGTTTTCCGTCCAGCGCCAGTCCTCTCTTCTCTCGATTGTTGTTGAGAGTGGGTGTGAGTGTGTACACTTTACAAAACGTAGAGCTGGATGCCACCTGATCACTGCAGGATGCAAAGACAGAACAAAAACGTATCGTTACCCATATTCACATCATTTCAAAGTCAGCAAACAGACTAAAGAAGAAGACATGTTTTTTATGTCATTTTTGGGCAGGTTTGTTTTCTTAATGACATCTCAACGATTAATCTTGAATATTAGACAACTAAAAGTTGAGATAAATAATAATTTCGATATAGTCTAAACTTACTCTGCCTCTATCTGAGCCACTGGACATTTGTACTGTGCTGTACTGAAGAGACAGATATCAGCATACTGTCGTACTGTAGAGACACAAATGTAAACAGTAGTGTAAGAATATGTACACAGATCATAGATGATGAAAGCAATATGAAAATAATGTCAAACTACAAACAGCAATTGGAGGACTATTGGATGTAACTCACCTGATATTTTAACCCTTTTGACAGTCTTGGTTGAGTTATTGGTGACATGGACGTTAACACTGATGGGTTCCCCATGGTAATACAGCTGTGTGAGAAAAATTGAGGTTATTCATAGGTTGATTATTTCTTACTAGCACTGATCTGTGTTAACCATAATGTAGTGAAAATCTGTAGTTCAGTCAAATGATTATTCGCAATTAAAGGGGTCCTATTATGCTCTTTTACAAAGTCTTGATTTTGTTGTGGAGGTGTACTAGAACAGGCTCTCATACTAGGTTGTTCGAAAAACACATTATTTTTCACATATTTTACATTACAACACCTCTCTCCCCAGTCTGACATGAACAGCTTGAATAGTTCCTGTATCAAATGAAGGCCCGCCTTCTGAAATAGGAAATGTGCTGTGATTGGTTAGCTGGGCCAGTGTGTGCTGTGATTGGTTAGCTGGGCCAGTGTGTGTTGTGAT